CAAAATTGGATGGTTTCCAAGTTTAGGAAATTTAGAAAATAACTTAGAAAATAATTTAATTGTAATTATTTCTATACCAAAGTGTGGGATCTCATCTCTTCGCGTTGTTAGTACAACATAACGTCGTGTCTATTCGTAAGATTGTTTAGATTCTATAAATAGGTTGATATATCATTGTAAAACTTAGATTCACATATCTCAATACAAGTTTATATTTTTTTTTATTTCCTATAATTTTCCCAGGTTCTTCTTTCCTAGTTTATTTACAATCAAAGTCTAAGCACTGCATTCGGTACGAATTAAGAATTTAATTAGTCTAAATCCTCCAAAAAGAAGCCCTTGGTTATCATTCGTTTTAAAATTTTCAACCCACGGTAACAATTTGGCACGCCTAGTAAGACAATAATTTGTTCCTCACGGAAAATTATTCTGAATTCATTAGATTACGATCAAGAAGACTAATACATCGCCGGATGGCTCATTCCGAGAAAGTAACATTGGCAGAAGAAACCAATATCATCCACATGACCTTGTTAGGTCTTCCACCATCCCAAGCATCCATCTCAAAAGGATTCATTTTGACTCGGGTGGAGAGGCCGACATCATTTAATGGCCAGGAAGTATCAAACTTGGCCACCCACAGTAGTACAAACGTACTATCTGAAGGGATTGACCAAAAATTCATTCACAGCTTTCTGGCTATAGCCCAACAAATAGCGAGTGCAAACACCCCATCACCTTCCCAAATCAAAAGTGGTGTCGAAACATATCATTTGTGGTCGCTTACTTAGGTCGAGTTGGGGAATCACGGCCAATAATGGTTATAATTTTTTGTACCATTGTTTATAGACACCACACTACCCAAACTTATGGTGTGGCCCAAACACGGCACAAGGCCAGAGCTATTATGCTCTGGTGCCGATACAAAATAACAAGCCATATTCGCAGTCCACTCACCAATAACAGATCACTCTACTATACGGAAACATCCCCAAAGCAGCACCTTACGTTAACCATCGACAGGCACCAGCGGCTCAAAGACGTAATTCTGTTTTAAAGCCACCACAGTGGATTCCACAAATGTGGCACAACCTGCCCAATAATATCTTGATGTTGTGCAAATAGTGCAAGATGCCATACACCAACACCTTGATGCCCGAGGCCAAGGGCTACACGGACTTGCATACCAGAAACCTTTTTTCGGAGTGGATAAAGAACAATTAATTATTGTCCCGACAAGTTAGAATTCCGGAATCCCTTATGTTGGAATTCCATAATTGGAATCCATTGTCTCTTAATAAATTTTACAAACTGCAATTATTTCCTCTAAATTTGACCAGGATAGCCTTTACATGGTACTCATCCATCTACAATGAATCCATACAAAATTGGAATCAAATAGAGCGAGAATTTCATATCAAATTTTACAGTCCCATACCAGAAACTATGCTAATTGATCTTATGGAAACAAAGCAAGAGTTTGAGAAATCGGTCACGTCCTTTATAAAAAAACTAAGATGGACTAAGGCTCGATGCCCAGTCATCAATAGTGAATCCGAACTTGCAAAATTGTAATTAGGAAAATATTTCTGCATTTACGAGATAGACTTATGGCTCACGAAGTTCAAAGTTTGGCACAATTGACAACCAAGATCGCATGTTTGGAACATCTTTATATATATATATATAATATGAAGCAAATACTCTGGACATCAAGTTGCACTAATTAATGTCGAGGATATGTTTGATGGGTATAAATGCCTAGACATTATTGAGGAGGCAACAACAGAGCTTGTAACGGGAAAATCCTACACTTGCTCCAATCTTAAGCCCTCAAAGGTAAAGACATACCTAAACTCCAAAATGAGAATTGTATGTTTGATATTACGCAGGCTGATGCAGTTTTTAACGAACTGCTAAAAGAGGGCCAAATCCAAATCCATAAGGCTAGAGATCAGCCTTGCCTTAGGAAATCAAATGACGAATATATTGCAAATGACATAATTCAATTCGACATGCCACTACAAATTTCCTTAATTTTAGGATAACTATACAAAAATCTTTGAATAATGGACGTCTTAAACTTGCCGGTATGAAAATAAATAATGAACCTTTCCCTAAGGTTAAGATCATCACCATAACAACACGACCGAATTCACCAGATGAAGTATCCCTTTGGGATGACATAGTAACTCGAGGACGGTCTCCACACAAGTGTGACAAAGGTAAAACCAAAATTGAGTACGTCTATAATTCAGAACTACTGCCAGACGGGAAAATTGCAAAAAATATCCCTCATGTATACCCCATTATCACATTTCTCTTATATTAATCCCACTGGCAAAATATATCTCACATGTTTGCAAAAGTTGCATTTATATCCTTTGATCGCGCATAGTCGCGCGTGATCGCACATCACTGCACGTGGTCTGAACGTCACACGCGGATAAAGGACAGAAATAGTGACTTTTGCAAATATGTAAGATATATTTTGCCAGCTAGATAAATACAGGATAAAAGTGATAATGGGGTATACGTGGGATATATTTTTTGCAATTTTCTCACTGTCAGACCAACAAGATGGCCCCATGGAAAAGGCATAAACACACCTGAGCAAGTGCACCTTGACCTCGAAAATGTCAAGAATCCCACTGGATGACTTCGTCCAACACTAGACGAACCAATGATTTCCAAAAAGAAAGCGTTGTGTGTTGCTTAACAATACTATGACCAAATGTATAGTTCGGCATGATAACCAGATATCCAATTAGATGTATCAGTCATACAAAAACCAAGGACGCAATGATGAATTTCACAACCTAAGTCAGAAAATATTAAAAATATCATTCATGAAGTTAGTGATTGGATCTATTTGTCTTATTACGGTCCATCCACTCTTCATCAACAATTACAATTTTGGGACAAAAATAAGGTTAAGGTGGCAAAAGTAGATCTGACGTCTTTCGAACACAACACTGAACTATATGAATTAATATTATACTTGAAAAACATAGAACTGATTATGACCACATCCTCGATTAAATCTAAGCCTTGGGATTTATGTCGGTTTATATACCCAGAATTCCGGATGAATATACCCAGCCCGAGATAGGGCCGACCCTAATAACAAAAAACTAACATATCGGCTACAATCCAGAACTTATAAAAGCAGCTGGACGGCATTTTCAGGTTTGTATTTTCAATCAAGATCATGATTACTATGACCAAAACCGAGGCTACGATTGAGCAATGGCGTAACGATAATTTTTCTTCTATCCTCAAACAGTACCCCACGATAGATTCTAAAATAAGTCTTTGCGGGTCTCGACTTTTGAGTTTATGTTATTTATTGTCATATGGCTTCAACAAGTTCAGCCATATGAAAACAGGGGGCCTATGTTACCCCACAAAATTCAAATTAAAATTAGAAAACGCAAAGATTGGGTGGCGCTCGAATGGAGTTTAGAGTCGATGAGCGCTTAGGATCCTAAGCCATAGTTCGCCTGGATCACATATGCTGTCAATGATCAAATATCGATTATCCATGTACAAGAGTGCATGTAGGGTGTAGGAGTGCCCAAATAGGGTGTAGGGACGCCCAGATAGGGTGTAGGGATGCCCGGGGTGTGCAGACAAATATAGATGGTGCTCGGACTAATGCAAAAATCATCTGGACTGATATAGAAGTTGATCGTGCTGATACAAAAGTCACAAGAACTAATGTAGAAGTCGTCTGAACTAATGGAAAAATCACCTGGACTAATGTAGAAGTCACCTTGACTGATGCAAAAATCGCCCGGGCTGATGCAAAATTCGCCTGCACAGAATGGAGGACACTCAGACAAGGTGTTGGTGTTATAACATAATTTCAGAAGGTTCGGGCGTATTTTTCAGAAGGTTGGGCATTTTCAAATATGTTGCAAATTGGGCGTACTTTTTAGAAGGTTGGACGTTATTAGATATATTTTAGATTATAATTGGGCATTACCATATTTAAAATGACTTGGGCGTATTTTCAGATATATTTTTAAAGGTCCAACGTGTTTCAGAGAAAATTGGTGTATCAGATTTATTTCAAAAGGTCTGGGCGTGTTTTTTTTTTTTAAAGCGCCTCAAACTACATATCAAAATATTATATTTATTTCACAAAACTATATGAAACATACATGAGGTTTCAAAATTGCATCAAACTCTCTCATAGTTTAATAAACTCTGCGTCTAACCAACCAGCTGTCAAACTTTGAATGAATGAATATATTTATAATTTCACGGTTTTTGAAATGGAAATTCCGAAACTTATTCGTAGTTTGGCACGTGTTGATCAAACACCGTTAAATAAGGATGACTGTGGGAGTTAGACACATAGTTTATGAAACCATAAGGAATTTTAATGCAGTTTTGAAAGTACGAGAAATTTGACGCAATTTCGTAAAATTACATGTGAATTTTGTGCAATTCTACCAATTTATTTTATCAGATTTAATTTTGAAAATTAGAAAATAACTTAAAAAAACCGCACAAATTATTAGTACAAAATGCATAAATGATAAAATATTGGGTTTATGTCAGAGAAAAGCCTTTAGTTATCATACTATTAAAAAGTTTGGTAACAACTGGATGCCAAAATTATTAGTATGAAATGCATAAATAATAAAATATTGGGTTTATGTTAGAAAGAAGCCTTTAGTTATCATAGATTAAAAATTTTGGTAACAGCTAGCCGCCAAAATTATTAGTACAAAATGCATAAATGATTAAATTTTGGGTTTATGTTAAAATATTATTTCGATGATTTTAATTCAAATATTGTCTCCTGCTGAAAGAATCCTTCGTTTACATTTTACAAGATGCCCTTTTCATATTATCTTTCTTATTTTAATAGCATAAAATAATTAATAAGCTGTTGGTTAGGTTGTAACTTGTAGTTTTCCTCCACTCATCATATAACCGGACAATCCAAGATTGAATCTTTATTGAAGAAATGCCAGTGATTTGTTTAGGGCTGCCAACGTTGGGTGCTGCTGCCGGAGTCCGTGAAGGACAACAAAGAAAGCTTCAAGAAATGGATAGACTCAGATTAGGGTTTTGTAGGGGAGGGGGAGGGGGAGGAGTGCATATCAGGGAAGTACAGAAGATGAAGATGAAGATGAAGATGACATGGGGTTGGGATTGGGATTGGGGAGCAAATAAAAAAACTAATTTTATGGGGGTTTATGGAAATAGCATTGGGAATGGGAATCGAGTTCCGAGTGTGGAAAGTGACTTGGGAATCCATCATATACTTAGAAACGAAAGTTTGGGGGGAGATTCACAAGCTGCTCAAATCGAAGCTTTTCTCAATAGGGTGGTTAGTTAAGATTACTGTCTTTATTTCATTTCATTTCATTACAGTTGTACATGTTATTTAACTTAGTATACTACTTACTTGTGTAGAGAATATATAATTGATGTATGGTATTGGTAATGGTAATGGTGTGCAGAGCAAATGGGTTGTCTCAATAGTGATCGGTGCCACAATTGTGTGGCGCCATGATGCTGAAGCCTTATGGGCTGCTACGGGTGCTGTTGTAAATACTGCACTCTCTATTACGCTTAAAAAGTTATTCAATCAACAGAGACCCGTTTCAAGATTAAGATCCGACCCGGGAATGCCGTCTTCCCACGCCCAATCATTCTTTTATATGCTCACGCTTCTTAATGTCTCATGTAAGTAACCTAATACATATTATCAACTATATATGTATATATAGTGTTTCTTAAAACCTTGCTTTTTGTATTTGACATACATTAATTATTTGATTGCAGTTATGGAGCGATGGGGGATTAACTTATTTACTGCAATTTTATTCACCATGCTCTTCGTTGTTGCCTCATACTTTGTAAGTAATTAGACATTAGAAGAAATTAATTGTTTCACTGAGGCTGACTTCACATTATCCATTAAGATTGGAATAAATTAAGTAATTGGATGTATACTTATTAATTGATGATTTGTAAATATTCTCAGTCATGGTTGCGGGTTTCCCAACAGTTTCATACAAGTGAGCAAGTTATTGCTGGAGCCGTTGTTGGATCTGCTTTCGCCATTTTGTGGTTTTGGTGGTGGTATGCCTTGGTGGTTCATTCATTCACATCTTTATTGTGGGTCAGAATAGTAGTTGTAGTTGGTGCAACCATTTATATTTTTGCTTTTATCCATTATATAATTGATAATTCACTCTTTCAAAGCAAATATATGATGGTTTAGGATGCTAACTAAATAAAATGGGTTTCATTCATTCATATGCTACAATTCATAGCTTTACCATGTATTTTAATGGAGGAAGGTTGATGACATGTCATCCTAAGACTTTGTGCAATAATGAAATATATTCAATATTGAAATTATATGTTAGAAATTTGAAGAATCGGGGCCGATGATGTGTAGTGTGATTTGTATTCTTTTGACATCGCAACGAAAAAGAATAATCTCATGTTCAAAGAAAGGCAATACAAAACACCATAATATGGTAACTGTAGTCATTGCCATTAAAAATCTATATTTTGTGGGACCTTCGTCTAGAAATTCTATCAACACGGATCGAATGGCATAGTCTGATTGATCTGTATTTTTATTTCTGTTAAACTTGTCATATTAATAATTAATAATGTATAAATAATTTTTAATTTATTTATAATCTTACACTTATTTAAATATAACAAATACATTTATTTTTTGAATAGTTATTAGATATGTCTAATTGTTGGTATAGCGTTTGTTTGAATTGATTGTTTATAATATGTTACATGTCAATGTTAAGGTACAATATACATTATATAATGGAAGGCAACAATTATGGTGTTGATTTGAGAAAATCAAATTTGTGATGATTTTTTTTTTTTCAGACAACACGGATCAAGACTCTAAAGAAAATTGATCGAGAGTCTAAATAGGAGTATTTCATGCACTCTTTATTGTTATGATATATATTTGTATTATATTAAGATAAATTATGTGTTATCTGGACTCTTGTTCTTTGTGTTGCATCTATCCTACCAAATGAACAACTTACCAATTTGTTAGCTCAAAATCCTAATAATATCGATTTCTACAACCTGTTCTATCGCGATTTACTGATTTCCTTCCTCTCTCTGCAATGGAGAAGACAACTCAAAAACCATTGAATGTTGTTATATTGAAAAGAAGAGATTTGCCATTGATCCAGACATTTTCAGCGTTTTCTACTGGTGGATTAGTTCTTGGTAGAAATTCAACATCAAAACAACATTCAAATAAAGTAGAAGAGGGAAGGGAGAAGAAGGGGCTGAGGACAAAGACAAATAAGAGATTCAAGACAATTTCGGCCTAGATCTATTTATAGGTTGTCCAATGAATTTGATAAATCGTTTCTACCAACATAAAAGGCAATATTGAATTGTCAATTTGTATTATTTTCTTCTATCTCCTAAGTGATTCTTCTTTAATCCATTTCAGTATTCCCATTAGGAATGGTAAGGGAGAAGAAGGGATAGAGGACGGAGATAACGATGGTATTAAGTAGAAAAAATTGACCCATATGCGTTTACAGGTTGTCCAATAAATTTGATTAATTGCTCCTTAAACAAAAAATGCGATATTGAACTATTAATTTGTATTATTTTCTTCTCTTGTGTAACTCTTCTTTCATCTATTATAAGCTTTGTATTATGCCTGCTAAACTTGTTGCCTCGGCATTGTAGAGTTGCTATAGTTCCCGTGAGTAAATTTACTACATCTCAACTTACTGAGTATTTTAGTACCATTTTTATCCGTTATGAATTATTGTAAATTGCATTGTACATATATATTTATTGGGCAAGCTAACTACTATTGTAGTTGGTTGCTATTATGTTTTATATTGTACTTAAAGAGCTTAAATTAGTTGGCTTGTTCGGCCAGCTCAAACGTTGAAATACTAGTCGTACCCAAAAATATATATATTAGATAAATAAGAGTTTATTAACTCTTGGAACTGTAAGGGCCCAAATATATGGTGCAAATTTCTATTGCCTTGAAAATTACAATTTATGCCCTTAAATGGCATGAGTTTACCTCCTATTTGCAACTTTATTTTATTACAGCTAATGTTGCAATCTCAATTATTGGAATATATTGTACTTTAGTAGTAAACAAACAACAGTTGATTAACTAACCTAATAATTATGTATATCCTCTGGATTTTATTTATTTTTTTGAGTTCTTTATTTTTTCAATATATTAGTATTTTTCACTATCTTTTACGAAGCTTTAAGTTCTTAATTTATTTTATATTTACCTTTATATCTATTGAAACTTTACTATCTTGCCAGTGCACTATTCTCTACTATAGTTGTCTTCTCATCATTCATCTCTATTGGTGGCACCCGAACCGAATGAATTTTATTTATGTGGTGAATTATTATTCCATTGTGAGTAAATGACCGTGTGATTTTCTCGTGGAAACTTTTCCTTACCATCGATGGACCTACCACAGGTGCATCCGATTGATGGTTATGTAAAAAAGGTTGATAACTATTCTTGACATCCAGGTATTGCGAAATATTTTGCCGCATCTTCATCTTTGTCAGGTCTGTCAACAAGTACTGTATCAATATAGTCATTTTATGTTAAAACCTATTTATAAATGAATTATGACATAAAGGTACACTCATTGTTGCTTTTTTTTTTTCTCTTAAAGAATTTTATCAGGCTAATTTGTTTGATTTTATGCACTTAGGACCTAATAAGCACAAGATTGCACTTAGGACCTAATAAGCACAAGATGGACAAGAGTCATGTATCAATTAGAGAATATTAAGCATATCGCCTCTAAGTATGCCCCACAACACCTTCTTTACTTTTGCATACTAGCCGTTTATTGCAAAAATATGTTACCGACCAATGCATAAAAATAGAAACTCAACGGCTGCATTTTTACCGTTATGAACAAATGCAGAACCAACACCACCATATGACCATGTAGGGCATGCTAGATGCTTTTAACCAATCTCAAGATGAACCTTTATCCATGATTGGATAACAATTTTTTCTTTCATATTCCTTCTTTGGTTGTCCTCATGGTATGCAGTAGAGGTATATGGATGCTATGGATCTTGTGCAGGAAACTGGTAAGCCTAATTTCTTCCTTACTATCACTTGTAATCTATAATGGGCTGACATTTAAGCATTTCTTATACACGTTGAACTATCGACTGGCAGACCTGACATTGTGGCTCATGTATTTAAAAATAAACTTGAAGAACTAAAAATGAATTCTTCAAATAGGACTTGTTAGGTAAAGTGCAGCCATATTCATATGTCATCGAGTTTAAAAAAAAAGAGGTCTTCTACATGCACATATTCTACTTATCATGTTTCACAATTCAAATTATACAACCCACTAAGTTACACCAAATTCATATATGCAGAACTCCCATACTTGTGGTTTTCAAAATCCTATGAATGTGTAAATAGTTATGGCCAAGATAAAAATCATTACCTGGATTTGTCTATGAAACAACTTATACTTTGTCCTAAGCATCTGGGACAAAATAATGAAAATGTTGTTTATGTACATGGGTGAAGTTTTGACAACTGTTGAGTGGTACCTTATAATATTTCATCTCTCAATTTGACTATCATATAAACATAGAAGTATGTACAAACGTCAATTTTGTAAAACATCTTTACAAGTATGTTTATAAAGACCAAGATCTAATTTCCTATACTATGAGCTCGAATAAAGCTGACATACCTCGTAATGAGATAGTAGATTACTAGGTTGGCCGCTATGTTGCTCCCTTGAAGATTGTTGATGTATTTTTTTCATTTTCCTTGATAGACATGCACCATCCTGTACTTGCTCTCCAATTACATTTTACTCCGGTATGTTTAATATTTATTCAAACACATAAATATTATTCAGCCCCTATGGTTCCCGATAAAAATAAGATATTTTTCTCATAAAAATTACATCAAAATATAATAAATGCAATGCTCAATTAATTCATAGTCTTAATAAGATAGTATGTTTCTTCATATCACTATCACTCATTGTTGATGCCAGTATAAAATTATTGTCTCTCAACACGACTAGTGTAGACTTTCGTTAAAAAGAGAATATAGGTCAACTAATTAAATCTTGTTAGGAGGTTCCGAAAGATTTCATACTACTAGGTCGATCTAGGAATCATCACAAAAGTGACTCATTAAGCATAACTTGACTTATGTCTAGTTATACCTGATTTAGCACATAATCAATCAAGCCACTTATTGCAAAACTCAAGACCCTTATTTGTTCTAAAAAATTTAATGCGCTTATCTATTTGGTTTTCTATTAACTTTTTTCCATATTTGAAAAATTTCAAAGACATTTGATATTTGTTCTAACTGAAAAATCCAAACTTTTCGTGAAAATTCATTAATTATCGACAGAAAGTAACGATTCTTTCCTTGAGTAGGGACATGAGATGGACCCCACATATCAGCATGCAAATATTCAACTACATCCTTACATTTAGGCACTTTAGGGACATGGGACAAATCAAATTTTACCCTATGTTGTTTACCATAAACACACGAGTCACAAAAAGGTACAGTAGTAATCTTATCATTTCCAAGAAAATTATTTTTCTTTAAGATTTCAAGACCTCTATCACTAAGGTGACCTAATCTTCTATGACAATTCAGTTTTATCATTAACAATAGAATTCACATTTGACATGCAATTTGGTTCCTCATAAGCAACATACAGATTATTTCCATTTTCCTATTAATCATCTTTCATCTAATGCAGCACATGAAATCAAGTTATTGCACAAATCAGGAACATGCCTAAAATTCCTTAAGTTTAACACATAGCCAGAGTCGAACTTTAAACATATATCACCTATACCAACAACTTTATAAAAATTTTCATTTGCGACTAAAACACTAGAATGCGGAACAGATCTATAGTTAGAAAAATGTTTCTCAAAGGAGACATGTGGAAAGTACACGCATAATCAAGTAACCACTCGTTAGCACATATAGTATTAATAACACCACAATATCCTTTAGCCATGAAAACATCTCCTACATATTCATTTCCTATAGGAATATTAGCATGCTCATTCTGTTGGTTTCTAAAGTTCTTCGGACGTGAACATTACTTAGCATAATGATTGGGTTCCTCTCAGTTGTAACACCTTCTGTTCTTAGGCCTAGACTTAGACCTAGATCTCTCATTGCTCTTTCCATTATTCTTTTGATTTTCTATGTTTTTTTATGACTTGTGACCTACCCCTAGAAAACATCACTTCATCAGTAACATGTTTATTACTTTTATTTGCATGCAAGTTAAGTTCATTGCTTTTTAATCCATTCATGACAGTTTCAAGATTTATATCATCTCTGTCATATTTGATAGCAGACTTAACGTCTGAGTAAGAATCAGGAATTGCATTCAAAAGAATAATAGGGGTATATTCATCAATATTCTTATCGTCTGCCTATTTTATATCTTGAACTTTGTAAAAAATCTAAATTTTCATCAATGTTTCGATTCAAATCAAGTTTAAATCGGAAAAATTTTTCGAGTAAAAAATAGTTTGTTTGGCAAAGATTTTTCAATGTATAGCTCTTCTAATCTTTCCCACAATTCCTTTGTAGAATTACGTTTTCCTACTTTTCTAATCACAGAATCAGATAAGTTCAAGATAATAAGAGAATAAGCATATTTATCTATTTCAGCCTTTATTTCATCAGTCATTAACGCATTATAATCACCATCAATTGCTTTGGAAACTTTTCGAGTTACTAAAAGTCCTTTCATTTCTTGTTGCCAAATTGAAAAATCAATTTTTCCATTGAATGGTGCAATATTGAAAGAAGACATATATGACATATTGACAAATATTTCACACGGTCACATAGAATGGCTATTGGTGGTCAACTACCTACTCTTTTTTAGAGCAGTTTGGTACATAATAGCCAACTCACGCATACAACCAAGTATGTCAGACAAGAATTCACTAACTATCAGTGGTCAGCTATTTACTCGCTCTTGGAGCAGTCAGTTACGTGATAGTAGTATCACACAATTAATCATATAAAATCAATCACGAT